GGGGGGGGGGGGGGGGAGGAGGAAGGGAAAGGGTCCGCAGAATAAGGACCCCCCCAGCAGGAGAGGAGCTCCATTGCAGAGGCTCCTCCTTTCAAAACAGCGCCCCCCCCAGCAGCAAAAGTACAAAGGAGTGGCGAAAAGGTCAGGAGTCGAAGGAAAAGGGCCAGAAATTGCCGTGCGGAGGGGGCGGGGGGGGTAGAGAAGAGCGGTTCCTTGTGCAAATTCACTCTTATTTGTGTCTACAAACAACATTCATGGGGGGTTGAGGAACCAGGCGGGGGAATGAGGGTACCCTGTACCTATGTTTGCTATTTTTTAAGAAGTCTTCTCTACGATACATCCCACGCTAGGAAGAGGGGGGCTCCCTTCCGCCTGCCCCGCGTCAGGCGCCCCGCTGCACTCACCCCCGCCGGGTTGCACACACACACGCCCCTTCTCAGAACAGAAGGGCGGGGGGCGGCCATCCTCTCGCCTCACCTCGCATCGCCCCGTGGCCCCTTTCCCGCCCCGTTGGCCCGCCGTCCCTCAAAGGAGACCCCCTTTTTTCAGCCTCTCGGGCGCCGTGGGCTCCCCTCTGCTCTCCCGAGCTGAGCCGCCCATCCCCACGCCCCCGTGGGATCCGGGGGGCCCATCGTGCCCCACGCCCCGACACGGGTTCATCGAGTAGCTGAAGACGCTGGGCAGAAAGGGCAGTGGCTGTCCCTTGTCATCCGGGACGACCATGTTCAAAGCCACCGGCAGCGTGAAGTTGTACGGGTAGGCGGCTAGCAACTGGTGCCCGTACATCAGCGGGTACGGATCGGGGTAGAAGCTGACTTTGCCGTCTCCGCTGCTGCCCCCTGCTTTGCCTACGGCGTTGAACTGGATGGTGCTGGGGTAAGCCAGGAACGAGGGCTTGTCTTCCAGATCCTTCCTGCTCCGGCAGCTGCCCGGCACCAGCAGCGGCAAGGGGTACTCCTGGACCGGGTACCGGTCCTCTGCCATCTCCTGGGACGCCAGAGCCTCCTTCTGGACCAGGCCCGTGTGCGAGATGACGGGGTCTTGAAGAGAGTGGGGCAGATTTGGGGGCAGTTCGGCGAGGCTGGTGGCGGCTGCCTGCAGCAGTGGCGGGTGGGCAGGCAGCTCCTCGTGAAAAGGGGGCTTCTCTCCCCCCTGCTGTGACGAGGCTTCCTCTTCGGGCAGAGGGGCCGGAGCGTGCCCGTTGCAGGGCGCCACTTCCATATGACCCTCCTCGGGTGCCTCTGGCTGCCCCGCGGGAGCCTCCCCGCTGGAAGAGGAGACCTGCATCTCCTGCGTGGTCTCCTCCTTAACCACTGCTGGGGGCGTGCCCAGGGGCGCCTCGGTGCTCTTCTTAGAGTAGGCGATGACCGTGGTGAGCACCGGCAGGGGCACCTGCTCAAGCGGCTGGCCCTCGTGCCGTTTCATGTGGCGGCTCAACGCCGCCGCAGTCTTGCAGACCTTTGTGCAGTGGGCGCAGGCGAACTTCACCAGAGGCTTGCGGCCTACGCGGTGGGGGGTACCGGGCAGGGCCGCCAGGGACTGGTCGTCCTTGCTGAGGCGCCCGTGCAC